TTTCTCTGCGGGCAAGAGCAGCCTCGTCCGGGCCCCTTCGGGCTCGGGCGTCTCGGTGCCTGCTTGCCCGAAACGGTTCGCGCGTCGGCCCCCTTGGCGTTCTCGGCGGCGAGCAGGAGGGGAGTACAGGGAGGAGGAGCGAACTTCTCCTCGTGCCAAGTCTGGCCTACGACGCTCGATGGTTCAGCTCTTGGGAGTTTGTGGCATGTTGTTGTTGCTGTTGCTCTTGTGGTTGTGGTTGTTGTGGTTGTGGCTGTGGTTGTGGTTGTGGTTGCTGTTGTTGCTGTTGCTGTTGCTGTTGCTGTTGTTGTTACTGCTGCTGCTGCTGCTGCTGCTGCTGTTGTTGTTGTTGTTGTTGTTGTTGTTGTTGTTGTTGTTGTTGAACTCTCCTTTCTGGAAAATAGTAATCAGGGAAAATCCTCCTCCTCAAACTGCGTTGTCGGCCCCCGGACTACAACAACAACGGCTCCCGCCTGATACTTCCTCGAAGTGTATTCCCAAATCGCGCTCTCGCGCGGGACTTCTTTTCAATGTATGCAGGAATCGCGCTCTCGCATGGGACTGCCTCGCAATTTATTCAGATGTTGCGCCCTCGACATTCAGGAGTCACGCTCTCGCTGTGGATTTCCGCACGATTGGTTTGGGAATCGAGCTGTCGCTCGAGACTTCCTCGCCATTCATGCAAGACGCACGCTTCAGCAACCCGCTTGCTTGACCTGGCCGCCTGGGCCTTCCTTCCCGGTCGTCTTGTAGGGTCTACCTGCCCGATCTGCCCGTCTGGTTCAGCCACGTGTTTTCTGTTCCTGGACCCCCTCCTCCTAGTGTCTCTCGTGCTCCATCCTCCTCCTTCCCCCTTGTCCCTTCCTTCCATCCGTCGTCTCTTCCCCTGCCTGAGGGGCTGCACGAAATACACGTTGCAGGTAAGAAAGATATACTCCCAAGGGGGTACGGTCAAAGACGAAGAGGGCGGGTATCGAGGGTGTGGGATGTACGTGCTGAATGGCACGCGGACAGATAAGAGCGAACAATATTAAACTGACTGTTGTTGAGGTTGTTATAGTTGTTGAGTTTGTTGTTGTTGTTGCCGTTGTCGCTTGTGTTGTTTTTTACTGTCGGTGTTGTTGCTGCTGCTGCTGTTGTTGCCGCTGCTGCTGTTGTTGGTGTTGTTGTTCCCCAATCAGAGCTTGCCTCTGTAGGGGTCCTAGCGGATTCATATGGTTAGGTGAACTTTGCCGCCGATTTCCGCGGCCCGCCCGGGTGCCCGGGTGCCTTATAGCCCCATAGCCTTATAGCCCATAGCCCCATAACCCTATAGCCCTATAGCCCTGTAATTCTATAGCCCGATAACCCTATAGCCTTACAGCCTTGTAGCCCTATAGCTCGATATGCCTATAGCCCCATAGCCCTATAGACTCATAGCCCTATTGCCCCATAGCCCCATAGCCCCAGAGCTCCATAACCCCATTGCCCTATAGCCCTACAGCCCTATAGCCCTATGGCCCTATAGTTCAATAACCCTATCGCCCTATGGTCTTATAGTTCCATAACCCTACAGCCCCATAGCCCCATCGCCCTGTAGCCCTAACTAGACTTTGATTGTTTTTTTTCTCTGGTTTCATTGTCGTTGTTGTTGTTGCTGCTGTTGTGGTTGTTGTCGTCCTTATTGCCGTCGTTATCGTTATTGCTGTGGTTGTTGTTGCTGTGATTGTTGTTGTTGTTGCTGTAGTAGTTGTTGTTGTTGCTGAGGCTGTTGTTGATGTGGTTGTGGTGTTGGTTGTGGTTGCTTTTGCTGTTACTGTTGCTGTTGCTGATGTCGTTGCTGTTACATGTTAATTACTCAACAATTATTATTGTACCCCCCAAGCGCTTTGGCGCTCTCGCCTCGGCGTCGGCTACACTTTCACTGAAACTGAAGCTCACGCTCGAGCGGTTGGGGGGGGGGCGTCAAAACGGCCCCCCCAACAACAATTACTCACTGCGTGGATCTCCCCATATGTGCATCTCATGTTTTATGTCACGTCATAGTGAGCGTCTGTTCATGAGCGTCCTACCCCCTGGCGTCTCCCCTTTGGGGTGCTGAAATCAGCGCCCCACCTGAGACATCCTCACAATCTGCTCTGAAAACAAAATATATTGGGCATGCAAACGAGCAAACCGCCTGAGACATCCCCACAAACTGGCCGCGAACGGGCCCGTGAGAACACACCTGGCGGCTCCCCTTAGGGGTGCTGAAACCAGCGTCCCGCCTGAGACATCCTCACACTCTGCTCTGAAAGCAAAGGATGTTGGGCATGAAAGCGAACAAACCGCCTGAGACATCCCCACACACTGGCCGCGAACGGGCCCGTGAGAACACCACTGGCGGCTCCCTCCCCTTGGGGGGGCTGAAACCAGCGCCCCGCCTGAGACATCCTCACACTCTGCTCTGAAAGCAGAAGGATGTTGGGCATGAAAACGAACAAACCGCCTGAGACATCCCCGCAAACTGGCCGCGAACGGGCCCGTGAGAGCACCCCTAGCGGCTCCCCTTAGGGGTGCTGAAACCAGCGCCCCGCCTGAGGCATCCTCACAATCTGCTCTGGCAACAACAGATATTGGGCATGACAACGAGCAAACCGCCTGAAGCATCTCCACAAACTGGCCGCGAACGGGCCCGTGAAAACACCCCTGGCGGCTCCCCTTAGGAATGCTGAAACCAGCGCCCCGCCTGAGACATCCTCGCAATCTGCTCTGAAAAAAAAGGATGGGCATGATAACGAGCAAACCGCCTGAGACATCCCCACACACTGGCCGCGAACGGGCCCGTGAGAACACCCATGGCGGCTCCCCTGAGGGGTGCTGAAGCCAGCGCCCCGCCTGAGACATCCTCACAATCTGCTCTGAAATCAAAGGATGTTGGGCATGAAAACGAACAAACCGCCTGAGACATCCCCGCAAACTGGCCGCGAACGGGCCCGTGAGAACACCACTGGCGGCTCCCTCCCCTTGGGGGGGCTGAAACCAGCGCCCCGCCTGAGACATCCTCACAATCTGCTCTGACAGCAAAGGCTGTTGGGCATGAAAACGAGCAAACCGCCTGAGACATCCCCACAAACTGGCCGCGGACGGGCCCGTGAGAACACCCCTGGCGGCTCCCCTTAGGGGTGCTGAAACCAGCGCCCCGCCTGAGACATCCTCACAATCTGCTCTGAAACCAAAATATATTGGGCATGATAACGAGCAAACCGCCTGAGACATCCCCACAAACTGACCGCGAACGGGCCCGTGAGAACACCCCTGGCGGCTCCACTTAGGGGTGCTGAAGCCAGCGCCCCGCCTGAGACATCCTCACAATCTGCTCTGGAAGCAAATCCCGTTTTACGCTGGACTGGCGCCCTACTCTCTTCTGAATTGGCGCTGCTCCCAGCAAGAACAACGCTCCCGCTCGAGGCTTCCTCTTTTTTTCCTCAGGACGGTGCTCTTCCTCGCCGCCGACAGCCCCCGTCCCGACAAAACCACGGCTCCCGCTCGAGACCTCCTCCCTTCTTACTCAAGGCGGTGTTCCTCCTCGCCGCCGACAACCGCCGTCCCAACAAAACCAGCGTTCCCGCTCGAGACTTCGTTTTGTTTTACGCTGGACTACCCCCCATACTCCCTTCAGCATGTGTGCCGCTTCCAGCAACAACCTCGGCCCCGCTCGAGACTTCTTCCCTTTCTGTTCGGGGCCAGGCCCTTGCCTCGCCGCCGACAGCCCCCATCTGCACCAAGGCAATCCTGTCGATCGATACTTGCTTGTGCTTTACCCTTGGCTGCGGCTCCACTGGCGGTCTCGCATCGGCGCAGCAAGGCGCGAGCATGCGTTTTCGAGGCGGGATATGCTTAAATTCTTTGGAGGAGGCGTTTGCAAAACCTCACTGGGCGGGAGATCTGGGAATGGGAATAACGGACCCCGCTGTAGAGCAACAGTCCCCGATTATGGAGATGGTTATCATGATGGTCGCATGCTTCGTGTGGAAACATCGCGCATGCGGGTAACATGATTGTTGTTGTTGCTGTTGTTGAGCTCGCATTCCGGAAGAATTATTATTGTAGATCCCCCCTCCCTGGTGCATGCCGTTTTTTCTCAAAGTGTGCTCCTCGACGCTCGTACCCTGTTTTTGGACAGGGAAAATCTTGGTGCTGAAACTGGGCAACTGGGCCCCTGGCCCCCCGGATTGCAACAACAACGGCTCCCGCCTGAGACTTCCTCCAAATTTACTCAAGACCCCCGCTCCTGAGACTTCCTCACAATTTACTCGGGGTCGGTGCTCCCGCCTGTGACTTCCTCGTAATTTAGTCCGGACCCCGGCTCCCATCTGAGACTTCCTCACAGTTCACTCAGGAACGGCGCCCCCGCTTGAGACTTCCTCACAATTGAATCAAGACTTCCCCCGCTCCCGCCAGAGAACCCTTCACATTTTATTCTGGCATTGCACTCGCGCTTGTGATTTCCATGCAATTTATTCAGAAATCGCTCTTTCGACGCTCAGGAAAAACGCTGCGCCAAGGACGCCGTTACAATTTGCTTAATGTTCGCGCTGTCGCCATACTCAGGCATCCCGCTTGAATGTCCCACCCGCCCGACCCGCCCGTCAGGGGATCGCCCGCCCGTCGTGGGATCCCGCCCGAGACTTCCTTCAGGAACGGCGCTTTCGCTTAGGACTTCCTCGACCGTTCACGCTCTTACCTTCCTGCTCCTCCTCCCTCTCCCTCCTCCCTCCTCCCTCCTCTCCTCCCTTCTCTTTCCCCCCCTCTCTTTCCTCATCCTTATGCCTTTCTGCCCTATCCCCTCTCCCTCCTCTCCCTCCTCCCTTCTCCCTCCCCTCTCCTGCCTCCTCCCTCCCTCTTTCTTTCTTTCTCTCTCTCTCTCTCTCTCTCTCCCCTCTCTCTCTCTCTCTTTCCCTATCTCTCTTACCTGTCTTTTTTTCTTTCTTTCCCTCTCCCTCTCTGCCTCTAATCAACCGCCCCGCTCTTCGCTCCTTCTCTCCTGGCGTTTTCCCTCTTCCTTCGTCCCTCACCCTCCCTTCCTCCCACTCTCCCTCGTTCTTCCCCTCCTCTTTTTGCAGGGCCCACACCAATTCCA